GCCGAGGCGGTGAGCCTGGGTGCTCGCAGGCCTCTCTGCCATGCTGCTTCTCATCTGATGCAGAAAGTGCCATTGGTCCCTCAACCTAGCAAGGTCATCTAATGAATTTTTATCAGATGAGTGATGTTGCTTGGCCCCATCTGCGCCAAGGCCAGGCTCAGCTGGAAGCAGAGTCACGGGGAAAACGTGTTGAAATACAGCCATTTCCAACTGTACTGCAGGCCTAAGTTTCCAGGCTGCAAATCGGAAAAAGATGGATATTTCGCTCTCAGATACAACTGAATGTGATTTAAATCTGAAATATTTTGTGGTCTTCCAAAAAGCCTGCAACTTCTGTTGCAGATTGCTGCCCGTCGCTGGGTGTAGATTAGTAACATATGCACCTGTGGGGTTGTTGAAATGTCCTGTCAGGAAGAGAAAAGCAGAGTTTTATTTTTACCTTTATTCTTGTAAGTCTGTCAGTGCAGGAGTGTTTGAGTTTTGAAAATAAGCACCCTCTTTCCAGCTCAGAGCGCTGTGTGCTGCTGGGATGCACTCGTGGTCCAGCAGCCAGGGCTAGCGCTCTGCCAGGCAGCCCCAGCAGCCACCCGGCATCCCGGCACCTCCAAAGCCTTTTTCAACGGGTGAGTGGGTGCAGAGTATTTTGGCCTGGCCTTAGATATGTTCTCTCCTGCCCTCAGCTATTTTTCTGGCATGGTTCATGCTGAGGATGCCAGGAGTGTGGTTGAGGCTTCCTGTGCCTGCCCAACTCTTCCTTCCTGCTGGCGGATGATTTACAGATGCTCTCTTGCTTCCTCAAGTGTTCGTATCAAAGAAATCCTGGAGAAAGGGAAGGAACATGAAGAGATAAGTGTTACATTTCTACCTATTGGCTTCCAGACTTAACAGCTGAAAGGAAGAAACTGAAAAACTTAAGCCCTTAAATGCCTTTATACTGCACTCAAAAGCTGCCTGTTTTGTTTTGTATTCAAAATCAGTGGCTGTTGACATTTCCAATCAACACAAGCATGCACTCACCCAGTTCCCCTCAGCCTAGTCCTTTACCGATCAAAAAGAGCCACGTAGTACGCTTAGCCGAAAGCAATCAGCCCGGCACATTCAGACCAAGCCACTGTATTCTTCGACTGCCTCGGCCAAAGAGCAATGTTATCTCCTGCTTGCAAGACACGGAGAATGTGTGCTGCTACGCTCGCAAAGCAGAGCTTTGGATGGTTTGTCTGGAAAAGAACGAGCATGATTACTGTGTGACAAGAGCTTGGCAACTTAAATTTGGCCTAAATAGTAAGGTTTTGTTAACCAGAGCTATGTGAAAACTTAACAATGGAAATATTTCCATCACCTAAAAAAAATGCCACTTGCTGACCTTACTGGGCTCTTTTGTGCCTGAGAAATTCAAAACTTAAACTGTTTGCAAACTGAATGCTGAAGTGCTGAGCTCATGGATGCAAACTTTAAAGTTCGATCAGTTACAAGCTGACTGGAGCAAAGATAACATTGATTATTCCCCTTTCGTTCTCCCGGGGGAGTAAGTCTGTAGACGGCATGCACAATGTACCAACCAAGGAGCTGTTGGAAATGATCCCACTTTAATCATCTCTGTTATTTGTACTGGGGGTAAAAAAATATTTTTACTCCAATGGCATTTCACTAAACAAAGAAGCAGCTTCTGTTTTAAAGTGATGTAGAAAGGGTCTCTAATTATGCCTGCTCCCTGCTTGGCTTTATGGATATTTGCATTCTTAGTCTCCTGATCTTTAAAATTAAAGACATTATTTACTTACCTCACATGAATGTTGGAAAGATCAACAAACTTGTGTTTGTCAAAGTGCTGTGAGGAGTCAAAAGAGATGAGTGCGGAGGATTTATTTTCTAGTTTCTTGCCGGACTTGCATTCTCAGTCACTTACCAGGCACAGGGTTGGGGAAGGCCCAAGGTGGCCTCTCCAGTGCTGTGAACAACCATGGGATGCAGAGGTGCTGTCCACATGGCCATCAGGCCCAATGGCCGCGGCACAGCAAAGGAAGGGCCAGGTGCTGAGGTACTCTCAGCCCTCGGTGGCTGTACTGGGAGGAGGTTGGCAGAGGAGATTTCGCTGCAGCAGTTTTCCAGCTCTCTGCCGTTGCCCACTTGTGACCCAACTCACATGCCCTTAGGACATCCCTCCCACTTTGCAGAAATCTGTGATCCCAAATTCCATGGAGGTGACAAGAGTAACACCAAGAAACAACAATAAGGGTAACAGGTTCCTCTGCTTGAGAGGCTTTGTATTTTTTTTGAATGGTCGCCCATAAACATGGTGTGCTTACTGTTCTCAGTACAAGACGTGTTTGGGTTGTCGCCCTTGTGCTGTGGTAGGTCCTGCCTTTGCTGGACCCTGACATGAACTTCCCTTGTCCAACCCTTCAGCTCTTTTCTTCCTACGCATCTCCCACTTCTGTTAAATCAAGCTTCTTATTAGTCATTATATTTGGGCATTTATGGGAAAAGGGATTCTGTATCTCAGATCGGGGCATTGACTTGCAAACTTGAAAATAGTCAGGCAGCGAAGGGCAAAGGGTGTCTGAAACGTGCTGCTGGGGAGGGCTGGTGGAAGAAGGCTGACTTTGTTTGGAAGATTAATTTCAACTTTGTTGAGACGCACAATCCCTTTCTGTTAGATAGTGTAGGCAGAGCCCTAGATGCTTAAAAGCCAATCTTCAACAGCATGCTTACTCGCTTACATCAGCCCATCTCTTGTCTTTTACTCTCATTTGGGGGAACAATAAACAAAGCGGCTCACTGTTACTGCCAGTGCAGCGCTCTCCCGCACGTTCTGGGGGCAGCATCTGCCGTGGGTTTCACTCCAGAGGTGCAGACCCAGAGAAAACCTGTAGACTGTACAGCTGAGCTGATATAAAGGCTTATGGATGCCAAAACCGGGGCTGTCCTTGTCACTCCCTCCTGCCCCAGAGCTTGCCAAGTCCTTGCCAAGTGGCTGCAGCCTGGCTGGGTGGCTGGCTGCTAACCCAGCAGGCAGAGGGAACAGTGCCCTGCGGGACTCAGGGGCTGCACCAGGCTTTTTGGGGAGCAACCAAAAATTCCCTGTGCCTCCAGCTCAGCTGCATGAGGGTTGTGCCACTGTCCTGGTTCCGTTTGTCCCAGCCCAGAAAGTGGGGGGCTGCCTACAGTGGTGTGCTGAGGAGCCTCGGTGTCCCAGTTGAAGAGGAATGGTCCTGCTTCCTCATCCCACCTCCCGGATACCACAGAGGTGCCCCCAGGGAACTGTGCCAGCCTTGGTCCTCACTGAGCTGGTGCCTGGCAGAATAACTCCTGGGAAAGTCCCCCTGCAATGGATGGGTGTCTGCTGGGGCCAGGAGCGGGACCTCTGCCTCTGCGGTAGGTCTGCAGCTGGAGACAGCCCAGGGGACCAAAGTTATGCAGAGTAATATTTTTCAGGATGGTGAAAAGAGTTGACCCAAATCTCTTCCATTCACTACGGAAAGTGAAAACTGTGTCAATGAAACAATGACCAGTTTAAGTAATCATGTGGGCACTGCAGGACCGACAGACACTGATTCCACTTCAAATGGCAGAAGATGCCTGAGGAGTCAGGGAGCAAGATTTTCTTTGCCTTAAACTCCACGAACAATTTAGATTCCTCACAGCTTTCCTGATTTCAGTCTGTGACTCCCAGGGTTGAGAAGAACTGCTGCAGAGTACGCAAGTGGAGTTATCTCATTCAGGGTAATTTAAAAGAAAAACAAAAAAACCCACCAAAGTGTTTTGCTTTGGGATGAATGACAAGGAGGAGAGAAAGAAAAAGCAGCAACATGACTGGAATAACAAGGCCACATTTTCTGTTACTGCCTCAAATTTGGAAGATATCAAACAGACAAGCAAATGCCAGAACCCATAATGTTGCACATTCATCCAGGAACAAGCCGACTAACTGCGTGACCTGTGCATAGGTATGTGCCATCCAGCAGACCCAAAAGCAGAGACTTGCCTGAGCAAGCGGTTGAAAATAAATGGCTGTAAGAATGAATTAATAACAGATTTCCAGGAAGAAAATGCAGATACGGTAAATCCTATTCCAGGTTATTGTGGAGGTATCTAGAGTTTCTTTTCTTCCTACTGTACAGGGCAGTTATTAGTTCAGGTCCACCTGCCCCGTGGAAATGATCGAAGGTTAGAAGTGTTCAGTTGTAGCAGCAAGGTGTTCCCAAACTGCTGCTTTTCACATCTTTGGGATAATATCAGAGAAGGTTCGTCAGATCATCTGGAAAACCACCCAGAGCTATGCAGCGAGAAATGTCTGTGAGAAGATGATTTCCCCTACCACAGAGAAGTAATAGAAACTACTGAGTAGAAATTATTTGCCTGCTTTTTGGTTCCCATTTGCTGGATGAGTGCTTCAGAGCATGGTGAAGTGGGCAGCAACCACACTGCTTGTACAAGAACTATGACTCCTTATTCCACATGGGCTGCCTGAAGTGTGTGAGGACTCATTTGTCACCAAAATAGATGACTTCCCTGTTTTTCCAATTTGTTCTGTATCTGGTTTTCTTTCTAGGTAGAGCTAGACTTGAAGGCTCCAGGTAGCCTTAATGTCTTGGCTCTGATTTTAATTTCCTTTAATATTGAATGAGAAGATGAGCTCTCATTTTCCAAGCTGATTATTGGAATCTGCAAGATCATCCTGCAGGATACCTTTCCTTTTATTTTTTTTTTTTGTAGTTTGGGCCTTTCTACTGGTAACACCTAAATAAAACAGGAGCTAAAAAAGAAGGATATCAGGAATTCACTTTAAAAGCTTATTTTCAGCTATGCAGGGGGAAGTGCTTTGCTTTAAAAGGCTAAAAAAGGGCTGTGTTTCTGATCCATCTTGTGTAGCCCACAATGAGGCTCCTCTTCTTCCCTGCTGTTTTCACTCAGCACATTAGTTACGTGTTTCTTATTTTGCCATGGGTGAGGTCTCCACTCATTTGACAGTCTCCAGGTTGAATTTCCCAGGATGTTCTCTTGACAGGAATGTAGCAACACTGATCTTTGGTGTTTTAAGCATGTAGCCCATCACCGTAGCAATGTCTGGGGCTACTGGGCAGGAGGCAGCAGCGATGCTGTGGTTCACTGGTGCCGTGCTGGATTTACTTGTGGTCTGATCTGCTCCCCGGGCACAACGTGGGGTCCTGGGGGGACCACACTCCTCACCAGGCACCTCTGCTTCATGGGACACATCTGGCTGGAGCCTCTCGCTGTTGCATGTTCCCCTGATATTTTTTAGCCTTTCTGAACCAAAACTTTCTCAGGAAATGAAGCCCAGTGTTCCTCCCACGCACGTGCCAGGATCTGAAAACAGACAAACTTTCCTAAGTAGCTCTTTCCTAATTAGCTCTTTGGATAACGATCCAATAACATAAACAAATGATTAAACAAACTAACTCCCTTCCCCTTAAGAACAAAACAAAAGCCCGACCCTTGAAAACCCAAGTCTGAATTCAGCTGTGAGAGAAATGCTGAGGCCTCAAAATCACCCAACATGGGAACCAAAGCCCATGAGGGTGGCTGGGGGACGGTGGTGCAGCTCGCCCCAGCAGCCCTGCGGCAGAGGGCCAGGGCAGCTGGAGAGGCTGGGGCTGCGGGTCAGACCAGGACGTCCAGGCAAGGTTAAGGAAACTTGCTAAGCACATCCCAGCCCAGTAAGTCACCATTTTTCTGTTGACTTCAAACCAGTAAGTATCAGCTAGGGGAAAGCCAGCAAGAGATTTTTTTTCCAGCTGCTGTGCTAACCTCAATCAGGGCAGCAGAGTGCTCCGCCATACATCCACACCAGTCACCTGCTGGAGCATATATCAGAATTTTCTTTGTTCCAAGCATGGAAAATAGGTGCAGTGCACCGCTATGTTATATTAAATGTGTAATTTAGCTGTCTTTGATATAGATCAATAAACACTGTGAGTGCTTTCTGTCTTAGCCTTCTGCTCCTCTAACTGAGAGGTGCCTGCAGAGAATAGAATAGTGGGTGGCTGGGAAAGGACGTCTTGTTTGGGACATACCTGCCAGAGATGGAAAGATATGGATTGAGACCTCAGATTTGAAAAAGAACTGGAGAAGCTGATTACACCGCCTCTTTTATTCCCTGCTTTTTTTTTTTTTTTTTTTTTTTTTAAAAAAAAAGAGAAACCCCAAACACCAGAAAGGCAATCAGGGTACCCAGCTGGGCTCAATCAGCACGCCCCTGCTGCTCTAAATAAGAAGGATTAAGGCAGGGAGGATTCCCTCCCTGCTAAGCAAGAGACCTATTAACCATACTGAGGAAAAGGATTTGAAGGCATTAGGTTGTTTGAGTTTCTTGTGGTTAGTTGATGGTTTTGGTTTTTTTTAAAATAAATTTTCATTAGGTGAAACTGATGTGTTTTATGAAGAAAAAGAATCAACCCGAGCCAGGTTGCTGAATCATTGTATTTTGTTAAATAGTTTTTTTAACTGTGGCAGGAAAGAAGAAAGAAAAACAACTGTGAAAGACCTTCCAGAAGACTTAAGTGTTTATAAGTGGGACAATAACAATAAATCCCAGGGTTGCTGGCCCTGTTACAGATGATGCATGTGAAATGATCCAACAGTTTGTGCTGTATTTCTCTATTTGCAGGGAAGCAATAAGCCGGTTGTGTGAAGCTGTATCAGGTACAAATGGAGCTATAAAAAAGCGGAAGGTAAATACTGTTTTAGCTGAACAATTTATTTTCTATATCTGCTTTTGATAAGATAAGATGTGATTCCCTACCAGGCTTCAGTCCATGCTGGACTTAGGGCACATTAATCCATCTGAATGGGGTATAACACAAAAGAGTGCTTGCAGCATGGTGTTCAGCCTGCTCGGTTTGGGGCTAAGGCCATGCCCTCTCTTATTTTCTTCAGGATTAATGCTGTGCCCAGATCTCCTGCTCCTACCAGCCTTTGCAGTGCTCAGTGCTTTACAGGATTTAGGTTCTCGCTGGTAAAATGTAGGAGGTCTTTTTGATAGCAAAAAGGAGCTCATTCACCGGACAATTACCCGAGTGTTATTTATATATAAAAAGTTAAACACGACTAAAATGGCAGTGTTTAATGGGCCCATCACTTATTCAATAACTGGGATGCAGTGAGGGGCAACGTTAGTGGCTGTGGCTGGGTGGTCCCCAGTGGGAGTTACGGAATCCCTTCTGTAAATGTGGAGCTTGGGAGGGATGAACATGCTCCTGCAAAATGAATACATGAGAGAATTTCAGCCAGCTATAACATTTAGCTCACCTGGATTTTGCTTTAAAACTTTTTTCCCGTTATTGACATAAAAATCATGCCTGTAAGTATTGTATTCAAAGCTGATATTTGTTAGAAGATCTGTTTGCATTTGATCAAGCCATTATCCTTGCTCCATTGAAATTCTCAATAAGATATCGTTAAATCTACTTGACACTGATATATTTCTGTCCCGACAGACTCAACTGACAGCCTCTTTCTTTTGTTTCTTTGCTCAAAGCCTCCAGTGAAGTTTCTGGCTTCTGTACTTGGCAAAAGTAACCTTCAGTTCTCTGGCGTGAATATAAAACTGACCATTTCAACAAGCAGCCTCACTTTGGTTAATGTTGACACGCAGCAGGTAGGATGCGTGTGAATCAGTGTCCTTTTCTCCTTTTCTCCATGCTACTGTATTCTCCTCCTTTCGTGGCTTCTGAAAGAAAGGCTGGGTGCTTCGAGGGGAAAGCAGCAGCCCTTAGTCTTCTTGGGCACGCCTGGTAAAGCTGAATTACATGATGCCTCTGCATTTAAAGATGAGAGCACTTGCAGCACAGGCCCTTCTTGTTTGTGATGGTGTCTTCCACAGGGAGGGATCTTTAAGCACTTGGCAAAGTGTTTCTCTGTGTGTGTCTCTGCCTGTACAGTGCCTAATAAACAAGGCACTAGTTCTGACTGGAGTTTCTGACGAGTCCTAGGGGAAAAAAAAAATTGATATAAATAATGAGTCAGAGCTTGGCTTTGGTGTCATTCAAAGCTATTTTACAGCTGGGAAATATATGCGCATAATCAGTTATAGTATGCAGAGTCTCTGGGCTCCATCGAGACGCGTTCTTGAGAGCCTGGATCTGCCCTGGAACTGGGGTGTGCTCCCTTCTTGGCAGATGTGATGAGGGGCTTTGTGCTGCCCACCTAATTCCTCCATTAGTTGTTGGCCTCAGCTCCCAGCACCATCTTGCCCGGGGCCAGCAGTGGGTTTTGCTCCAGGCTGGAGCAGGGGAGCATCAGGGAGGTAGTTCTGGCTCTGAGGAGACACCACGCTGAGCCGATGCCATGCCGAGTGTTGGGGAGTGCTTGGGCTTTTGCCGGAGCCCAGAGGTCTACTGTCCCTTGGACCCCTGTGCTAGGAAGGGTCTATGGCACCAGGTTTCCCTTCCTTTTGGGTACAGCAGCAAAGGGCTTTCCTGCACTGGGTGAAACTGTGGGGGTTGGCAGCTAAGTATGGCTCTTCTAACCTGTTCCTCTCTGTAATGGAACTAAAAGCCAGCTGGACAGATCTGCTTCCCAAAGCACTGGTGTGCCCTGTTACTGCACGTGCGGGTGTGCAGGGCACTGTCTTGAAATTCCTTCAAGGTCTTTTGTTACTAGAGCTTTGCAAAGGGAAAATCCTATTTATTCTATACTTGCACTGCCGCCATGTTTCACTGTGTTCCCACCTACATAATCTGTTGCACTTGATTTTATAATAAAGCACAGCTTGTCTCCAGAGATGCGCTAGTGCTTGAAACCATGAAAAGTTGATGCTTGATTTGGCTAGTGAAATCTCTAGCAGGTTACAGTGTGGTCCTAGTGGTAAGAGAGAATATGCTCAGAGTATTGGTGGGGCCTGTTCATAAAAAAGCTACTGTTGTATATACCATGCATTTAAATAAATTAAAATGAATTAATTTCTCAAGACTTTGTAAATGTAGCCAGTGTCTCCAGTTATTCTCCTTTCAAAGTTTTGGTTAGCTTCATACCAGCCATTTTAGAAGTCGGTGGTTGAATTCATTCTGAAAACCCTTTAAGGAAGATGAATCAGGGATCTAGACATTATTAAACATGAATGGGTAGTCTCAAAAATACTCCTATTGTTAGCTCCTTCCTTCATAAATGATACGGGCGTGTATTAATGGATTGGGTTAGCATGAACTTAATTGCTTGCTCTATGAAGATATATGCTCTGCTGTTTTCTAAATGTGTGGCACATGAGCATGTTTAACCAGTTTGTCATGCTTTTCAGATTATTGCCAACCATCACATGCAGTCCATCTCATTTGCTTCGGGAGGTGACCCAGTAAGTATTGATTTATAAGATACATTTCCGCAGGTATAATGAAATTATTATGAGACTAAAAGTACCTGCAAATACTTTGCTTCATCCCTTCCTATCCACAAGCACTAACAGTACACTGCAATTCTGGATCATGACCAGTAATACAAGAAAACTGAGGGACTGAGACTGGAAAGGAGACTTGGAGTAGAGGCTCAGTGGATAGATCTGTATAGTCAGCTTATAGATCTGTATAGTTGCCTTTTCCTGTTCTCCATCAGTGAGCCTCAGTTCACTCAAAAGCCCCTAGACTTGGTTTTTTCAATATAAGAACACAGGAACACAGGAACACAGGAATTGCATCAGTTCTGTGCTCCCTGTAACCCACACAGTACCTGTCACAAAAGCGTTCAACACCAGCACCTCTAAATTTTAGATGAATTTTGAGTCAAGCAAAGTTCCTATAAGACAGACATGGCATAACCTTTTTTATTCTGCAGATAAGGGTTTTTTTTCTAGTATCATAAATCATGAACTCACTGATGTTGTCATGCGAGAGGTTTTCTGTCCTCTTCCAAACTCTTTATTGCAATGATTGTCAGCAGTGAATTTGCCATCCATAAACAGACCCTATTCCCTCATCGAATCTAAGCAAGCCCAGCTTTGCCAGGGGTACAAATTTCATAGTCCATGTGTTATGAAAACAGGTTTTTTTTTTAATCAGTTTTGAATGTTGTGCCCCTTGATTTTCTTAAACATTGTTGTGTTCTTGTGTTAAGAAACAGGGAAAACAGAAGGCACTGGGTCATACTCTTGATAACACTGGGGTGGAAGCCAGATCCCGCTTTGGCTGGAAAATGACAGATCTGCCTCTTTGGATTTAGGAGCAGGCAAGGGGAAATAGCTGGGAACCATCCCTGCGTGGCTGACTGATCCTCTCTGGAGGGCCACGGGGGTGGCGTGAGGAGCCCCGCTGTGCTGCGAGATGCTGCCTGAGAGCGGGCGCTCTCTGGAGCTGGGCTGGGAAATGGGGATGTAGGCATGTGCAGGCTCGGCACTGCTGGTCTTGCACCCAGGAGGGAGGCACAGCATGGGCCTGGTGCCAAAGTACTACATCCTTAAAGATCCTGTTTCATGATTAAGGCATTGTGAAAGTCTAAGAAGTCCAAATTTCACCCTTAGGTGCCTGTGCTATCCTAATACACCACACTGTGCAACACAGCCCCTGGGCTTTGCAGACCCTTCCTGACGTGGGTTTCCAAGCAGCTTCCAAGAGCTGCTGCACTGTTGTGCTGAGCATTACAAAGCTTCATTTCCAAATTCCAGTTTTCTTGACAGTTAAACGATTTAAATAGGTCCTCAAGCTGGCTTGTTTTTGAAGTATGCACCATGTGCTAGATGCTGGCTGTCTAGTTTGTCTTTATGTAACATTTCCAGTTTTGAAAATTCAGGGATATATTTTCAGATCTCTGCTCAGCAGGTTGGATGGGTAATTTTCCAGGGCTTGTTTACCTTTTCCTAGTTTGTTTTTGGTTTGTGTGGGTTTTTTGTTTTTTTTTTTTAATATTATTATACTGCATTGGTCTTGTACAGTGATGCCATCAGATCTCACAGGCTATATGGGGCTGGGTTTGGTCAGTGCTTCATGGCAGGACCGCCCTGAGACGTGCTCGCACATGGATGTGCTGCAGGAAATGGGCTTGGTGGTGCAGCTGGTGACACTTTCCTTACAGGGAGAATATGTAAAATGGAGGTCTTGCTCAGCAGTGGTAACTATAAATCTAGCGGCACTTCACATAAGGGGCAATTTTTGTGGCTTGTTCAGGTAATTTTTCCAAAATTCCCTTTACATTTGAGATGGGAGATAGTTTCCACAGGACGCATCTCTCCACCTGCCCCCATATTCAGGGTCTAAACGCCGTTTAGTGTTGCTCTGCACTGTTAATGAGTAGAAATATTCTGACTGAGAATAAAGCCTACATCCATGCATGTACTTAAAGATCACAAAGATATAAAAATAGCAGGTACTGTTCCAGTTACTTTAGTTTCTAGTTGCTCTCTAGATCTAATTTTATTTTAAATGAGTGTCCTAAAATATTTATGAACTTTAAGAAGAACCTGAAAGGAAAAGGAATGAAATTGAGTTCACTAAATGCATAAGAAATATTTAGCTTGCTTTGTTTTAATTATATTAACTTTGGAGCTTTAAAAAAAAATTATCTAGGACAAGTTCTGCTGGCCCTAGGACCTGCCCCTTGTGTCATTCATTGTGAATTATTAAATGATTGTTCTTGTGCACATTGCAAATGGGGGCCTTGTTTCCTGCCAGCTGATTGCATCTTCTCTCAAGAGAGCCATGCCTTGAAGCTGCGAATTGCATTTTCCCCATCCCGCCTTAAAGATCCAAAATAACAAAATGCATCTTTAATAATTAAAAGAATGTTATTCATTATTTCACCATTTTTACTATAACACTGAATTATCAAGTGACTTTGCTTTTGCAGTATGACTAGAAATGTTAATTTTTCTATTCCAATTTCCTTTTCAGCTTTGCTAGAAAAAGTGAGGATTATTTTAATGTTGGCTGGAAAAGGAATCTGAAATACTGAGGTTGTCTGATCTCAGCAGCAGCCTGGAGGTTCAGAGTAGTTTAACCTGATCGTAGCCAGACTAAAATCAGGCAGCAGCAAGTGAGATCAGATACCTATTGTATTCTGTGATATTTTAAAGATCAGCTTTTCTCCAAGACGCCTTCAAAACTCAATCTTCATGCTACAAACTGGGAATATTCTAACTTGTCCTTTGTGGTATGTTATCACTATTTTATCTTCCACGGATATCGATAAGGACTGGCAGTCACGCGGCTCTAATGCGTTACGCAGGGGAGGTGTCGAGCTCCGTGGGAGCAGTGGAAGAGAGCGGCGTTGCCTGCTGATGAGGCGCCACTCGTGTTTCTACTCCTGTTGCATAGTTTGGAATTGAAAACACAGTTTATTGAAGACCCAAAGAACGCCAAATGGCCTAGTGCATTTATTACAAGAAAAAGGTTCCAGCACAATTACTGTGTCGATAGCCACCGGTGTGTCGCTGATCTTTCCCTCAACCCACTTTGCTAGCAGCTCCAGTTGTTTTCCCTGGAAGAAGAATGCTTTTTAAAGCTAAAAATAGATATCTCTATGCTGAGCTGCTTTGTTATGGTGGTAGGGTTGTTCATAATGATAATTTTGAAGACATTTGTCATCTTCTTTTCCTACAGGATACAACAGACTATGTTGCATATGTAGCAAAAGATCCTGTTAATCAGAGAGGTATGGAAACAATTTTCAGATTGTTATACATGTTTCTATGATTGTTTTATCTGTACCAAGGAATTGTTTGAGTTTTAAAAGAAGAAAGCTACTGAGCAGCTCAATATTCTGTACAATTTCTGAATTCCCTGTATGGATGTGCATGATGGTATGCAGGCTGTGGGTTTAACTGTCATATTCTTTATGCACGAAGTGAGAATCTGCAGGTCAGACTAAAGCTGTGCTAGCTATTGGCTACGTGCAGAGGTAGGAGCCTTCCCAAGCCAGCCTTGCTGGGGAGGAAGGGCAGAGCCTGGAAAGATGGGCAGCTGCCCTGCTCTGGGACAGCTTCCACATGAAGGGAAAGGTAGTGAATGAGGCCTGTCCTCTGACCCAGGCTCCTGGGTTTGCTCCTGGGAGGCAGGGTGGGGTGTATACTCAGGCATATGAGACCACCTTCCCTCTGGAGGCTGACCCAGGGGATAAAATTCTTTTTGCATCACTGTTCTTTTTTGCCTGCAATAGAAGACTGGCCCTTGGCTGCTTCTTTCATGCCAGACAGTTCTCGGAGCACCACTGCCAATGGCTATAAAGTTGGTAGAGTGGCAGCTCACAGGAGGGCTCACTCTAAGGTGCTGTGGATGGCTCAGAAAATCAGGACAAAAATCTGGAGAAGCTGGGCTGCAGCCTTAACAGTCTGGCCTGCCACTGCTCTGTAGCTCCATCACCTGCATGTTGCCTGCACTGCTATTTTGACTAACTTAAGGCACCCTGCAGGTTCAACAGTCAGTCCCGGTATTGATGCTGGGTTGTGCAGAACTCCTGTACCGTGGCAACCTGCAGACAGGGCTGGCGGCTGGCCCAGCACCATCCCCGAGGGCTATCTCATGGTGGCTCTGCAGAGGGGAGAGCCGGTCCTCGGCACGCAGTACTCGCTGCTGGAGTGAGTTTCCCGAGGCTGTGCATGAGAACAAGGACTGGTGGCAGGAGCATGGGTCTTGCACCAAGGAAGCCCTGCCCTGGGCTGCTGGAGCCACCCACACCTGTGTTTTCATGCTGTTTCACATGAAAACTGCACACTGGCAGGTCTGGTCTCTTCCCTGCTTTTGCTCACTGCCAGGCAGGGAGAGAAATGGAGATACAGCTGCATTCCATGCAGGAAGAGTTTCTTTTATTGAGGTATAAGTTGATACTATGATTAGAAAAATACCTAAAGCAATTTCCTTAACACATCAGTTTGTATAGTGTCCTAAAGTTATCTAGATGCATAATTTCATGCCTAGCTTTTCTGCTGTGAGCAATATAGCTTGTGTCTCTATTTTCTATTATAAAGTGCATTTACTTAATTAAAATAAGGTGTCTCTTTGCAGCATGCCACATACTGGAATGCCCCAATGGGATGGCGCAGGAGGTGATAAACACCATAGGGCAGGCTTTCGAGCTCCGGTTCAAACAGTACCTGAAGAACCCATCCAGCCTGGTTACGGCTAATGAAAGGTAGCAAGTTCTTAGTCAATTAACTGACAGTTTTCTTCTCTTTAGTACTTTTCAGGAAAACAGTATATTCCAAAGAATGATCCATAAATAAGATGCTTTGGATGTGCTTTCTGGACATAAGCTAATTGTAGTATATTGCTGTATGTACAGAGTATTAGAGACTAAAATCAGCTTATTCCAGTAAACTCCAGTGATTTCAGTGACATTTGTGCAGATGCATAACAGCATAGAATTCAGCCACATTGTTCCTTAGCTAAACCAGCCTTATCTTGTTCAAATTACTCTGCCCAAGTAAGTTCTGCTCTACAAATACAGCACTGAGCTCAGCCCTGACCTGTGCCAAGTTTAAGCTCACTGCAGTTGTGGAAAGTGTGTGGTGGGGTAAAAAGCAATTGTAATTCATCTTTCTGCTCACATCGTGCACATTGCTCAAAATATAGGACCTAGATTCATTTTTGGACCACGGTTCTCCATTTCAGCTACCCTTTTTCCATTGCTCTGGAGACACAATTCTTGCTCTAATTTATGGCTTTCCTCACAGGTTAGCCATGCCTATTTTTCTCAGTCTTTTCTTTACCGTAATGCCAAATTTGATCACTTGCTGCCTCCCACAAGCAGGTAGAGCCATAACGCCGCCTAGCCGCACCCTGAGCACCGGCAGTCACTGTGAAGGCGGTGTCACTGGTACGGTGCCTGACGCAATGCCACAGAACTGGGTTTATTACCTAACAGCAGCCCCAGCTCCAGCTTGTATTTATTTCATTGTATATAGTGATTCTTGCCATTCCCCTGCTAATACTGGTCTGTTTTCCCTGGGGACAGTAACCAGAGGAAGAGCCTTTCCTGTGAAACTCTGGTAGGTTGTGTCACAAGTAAATCGGAGCAAGGAGGGATGGAAGAGCCTAATTGGATTCCCTCCTTGAGCCTAACACAGAGCCAGCCTTGGAGGGTGGTCCTCGGGCAGAGAAGTCGGATATTGCTGTATGAATGAGTCACCCACTTTCAAACTACCGTGAATCACATAATCAAATACTTGCACTGCATATCACATAATCAACTACTTGAACTTTATCTCTTTCCTGCTCGAGGCCTTTTATCCAATTATATTCTTGTTAAACAGAGAAGTAAGATTTGAGATGAGCTTTTTATTTCGGGACCAGAGACAGTACAGGAAGCACCTAGTTGTTTTGCAGTGTATCGGCTGTACGTTTAAACTATCATCATTCCGGTTTAGCTCAAGAAAAATATTGGGCACTCTTCTTCATGTCATTCAGGATTTTCTTCAAGCTGAAACAGAACAGTTATATTGATTATGGTTATTAAAATCAGGGTACATTCCACTCAGGAAAACTGCTTCTTTTTTTGTAGGATTATTTGATTTTCTAAAACACTTGGGGGCTTGTCTAACTAAATGCCATGAGGTTTTGATTTTCTCTTGAAAGTTCCCTTTACTCCCCCTGCCCGCAGCAATCCCTAGATTTATATACTTGAGAGAAGAAGCCAGAGGAATTATTTTTATGGTCTACATTTTGGACACCTTAATGAATGATGCACTGGCATTCTTCTCTTAAAGTTTCAGTAGGTGGCCCTATATTTTCAAGGCGAAGAAAAGGGATCTGGGCTGCCTGCTGCTCAGAAAATTACTGTACCTCCCTGTGCCCCAAATGGTGATGACTCCACTTTTAATTCAGGAAGAAGTAACTAGAAAAGTAAACAGCTCTGAGAGTTCACGTCCAAAGCCCTTTACAGCCTCCATATGGCTAATCTGTGTACTGTGCCATGTGCAAACACTGGGGACGTTTGCCTACACTAGAAAGCAGTGGATTACATCAGTTGCTTTTTTTTTTTTCCATATTTTTTCAGTGAGGCAGCAAATGCTAATGGATCATCTGGGAATTCACAGGAGAGGGAGGATCATGAATATTACAACGAAATTACGAGATTCAGGGGAAAGAGCCTCCCACTGGTGGAGTGTTAGACATGCGAATGAAAGTGCAAACAGACCAAAGGGCTAACTGTCTTACACCGTGCAAAAAGCAGTATTGCTTGGTAAGTACATCATCTTCTGGGATAACTATTCGCTGCCTATTATGGGAATGAATAATAAAGTGTTACTGTGGTGTAAAGCATGGCATTAACATCAGAACCAGGTCCTGATTATCCTGGGAAAGGGTTTTTTAGGCTAGATTTAATGATGCTTAGTACATAATTGAATCCCAAAGCACTTTCTGAATATTAACTGGTTTGTCCTTAGAGTACTTTTAAGGAGACCAAGTAATATTCCCTTGTTCACTCATTAGCTGCGAGAAGAAAACAGACACAAATTTAAATGGCTTGTCTGAGAGAACATCTGCAAAATCTGGGACCTCCTGGCTCCTGATTCTGTGATCTCATAAATATTTCATCCTGTCCATTACGCTCTGCAACCTATACATACAACATTAACTGATTGCAATGTATATACCACATTAATTACCCTTGGAGAGTTTCAAGAGGCTCTGTTAAATCAGCTACAGCAGCAAAAGATGCATATGTCTGTGGCTCTTGCCTGGGATAGTGGGGAATAAAACCCGATCAGTCAGGGAGTTAAAACCAGCCCAGTTCAGACTGGCTGCACAGGCTTCAAACCCTGGTGTGCGAGGACCTGGAAACACTGGCATTTCCCTGCTTAGGGCAGCAAGCACCACCACTTTACTTGGTGGGAGCGCGCTCAGACGTGCCCACTGAAATCCAGTTGGGGCTGTCCAAAAAGTTGCTGCTCCCAAGTGTTATTTGTGTCTGGTGGCAGCTGCTCCCCGGTTCCTGTGCCTTCCCGCCCTACTGCTCCAGCCATCGTTGGCTTTGTTAACCTCAGCCGTGCTCCACATCTCCGTTGTGGGCCTGCTGATCTCTGCCTCTCCAGCAGTTCTCCAAAAAGGTGTTTGATTGTATCTTGAGCTTGCATTTGAAGCGCACCAGAGCTGTTACAGGGAATTACCCTGCAGCATGTAAATGCAAATGCTTTTTTTTTCTGTGGGGCGTTACTTTTTGGTTTTCCCTTCAGTTCTGATGACCTAGTGCTGCTCAGACAACTTGGTGACCATTTTGCTTTCAAACCATGATGTCTGTAGTTATTCCTGCTTGTTTTTATTGAAAGGGACATTTATAAGGAAATCTGCACTTTATTACCTAGGAGTTATACTGCATATACTCTACATAACTGGGTAGTTAGCGGTCTCTGTGAGGTTGGAGTATGTCCAGACATGATGCCCTGTAGAAAGAAGAGTATCAGCATGAAATATTATTTGAGGAGATAGGAATTTTTTGGTTATGTTTAGTTACCTGTATCCCAATGAACTGGTTCATAGATGTTTTAAAGTTACCGGAGGTCTCTAAGGGACTACTTTATGCGACTGTTTTTACAATTTTTCTGCAGACAGGCAGCCCGACATTCATCAATATATATGAAAATTGCCCAGAAGAAAACAAAACTGTGGGTACGTACTCTCTGTTCCTTCTCATGCATATGCAGAATTAACCAAGGCAGACTGCCTGGAAGAGCTGCCCCTTGGCTTTCAATACAATGGTTGAGAGTGTTCTACTTAGTGGGTCATTTCTAGTTCCCTAGATGAAGGGCAGACAAAAAAGCCTTACAGCTTTTCTAAAGGCCACTGATCTATCTCCATGTCTGCTGGCAGACTTACTCATTTTACTTGTCATGATACTGTACAGTAGCTCTTTGTTGGTTTATTCTCTTTCATACTCTTTGTTTTTTTATTCCCTTTTGTACCCTTTGAAAAAGGGAAGATACTTTGTTGCTTATCAGTCACTGAAAATACCCCTTCCCCCTACAAATGCTTAATGAGACCCAAACTATCAGCATGGGGTGGCTCTTCCAACAGAGCCTGGGCCCTTGGTTCCATCATAACCAGCTTCTCAGCGTGACTGTGCCCTTCCCATGCTTTCGGTGGCTTTGTGCCCGAGATCAATTTCCCTTTAGCAAAACCTGCTCTCTGGGACCCCAGGAGATCACCAGCCTTTGTCCCCTTCTGGACTCCCCTTGCCACAGCTGATGCCCTGAGCGCATTTCCTCAGCTCACCTCTTTCACTGCACAGTGAGGTCCTTTTTGAATTCCCACCTGCACTGCCCTAAAGCGATCCATTATGCAGCAGGGGATAGTTCAGTTTCTTGTGTTACTTCTGATTTAAGGAAAGGAGAACCAAATGGTTTCTACAAAGAGAGGGTGAACAAATAAAAGAATGAATGAATAGATCTATGAATAAAACGTTTGCTAAAGAGCAAAAATATGCGTGCTATTTGGCTAGCTGAAGTGCTATTATTTTCATACCCTGCAGGGGATATTCTTTTAGCCTGTTCCTAGGCTTGGATCCTAACCTGACAGATGTGGCTTTAGCTCTCCAGGCAGAGCTACGAAGTGCCAACCTCCTCCATCTTCCTTGCTCCACCAGAATAGCAAGCGAGGAGTGTTCAGCTTCCCACAAGCCTTTCTTTTTTTTTTTGTTTTTTGTGGTGCAGAGGGGAAGGAGAGGGTTTTGCAACAAACAACATATATGACTTGTGTCTCTGTAGAGTCATATGTATTAATTTTTTCTATCAGTGGGGGGTTTACTGCTGACATTGATTGAAGCAGAACTGAACCAGTGTGGAACATTTTTGAGAACTCCATACTACCTCATTTTGGATGGTGTACCTTGTGCCTTCTAACCATAAGGAAAAATGAGTTCATCTGCCAATTTTTCTTTTCCTTCTGAATGACTTCAATGGGATATATAAGAACAGCAGTGTTCCCGTTTCAGCTTTTACAGTTATTTTAACTTGACTTTAAAAAAAAAAAAAAAAGGAAATCTGTGCATACTTATATACTAATTGCAGGTAATTGTGGTGAAAGATCACAGAAGACAAAAAAAGAGGCAACATTATTGAGGCCTGCCTACAAAACAGATCTTTTTGATGATCCGTGTTACATCAACACACAGACCCTGCAGTCTGCAGTCTGTACAGCCCGTGGTACGGCAACAACACAGATCCATGGGAGCCCACTGCGTCAGGCCAGTAGGTTCCCATCGCAATACTGTATCTTTCTAAGCTTTGAAAAGAGGGGGTCTTGTCATCTGAGTGCATGGAGAAAGATTTTGGTTTGCCCATAAGAAATATAGAAAAAAATGTGGAGAAGAAATCCTTCCTGGGTTTTTTTTTTGCTTGTTAAATTCAAGTGAAATGGAATAAAAGAGTAAAAGTAGTTATCGTAAACAAGCAGAGTAACCCTTCATATTCTGTGGTTGGTTGATGACAATATTGTTCCCCAGGTAATAATCAGCAAGTCTTTAAGATGATATGAAAGCTTGGGACTGTACCACACCTCAAGGAAGAGGGTTCTCCTGTATGCTCAAGATCTTAACCACTCTAAGGTGGAATTGGTCTCAAATGCCTTTGCTTCACAGGCAGTAGCATGCAATGTCACAGAAGGATTGTTGTGACCATCTTTTCTCAATTCTTGCATAAGTGACCATTGACTCTCATCCAATAATTTCTAAATCTGTTTGATCAGTAGTATCTATTAAACGTATGTCAAATTAAGTCTTGATTTACAGACTCAAAGTGGTGGATATCCATTAAATGACTATATAGTTGCTACTGATTGTCCTCATTATTGAAAATATTTATTAGCTTTGCCTTTTATGGTTTCCCACTAAGTGTTTTCTCTGTCAGAGTTGGCTCCACACAAGAAAGTGGGCAAAGGACTGGACAGAACTACAGTAAAGGAAATCTGTGACCACTGAGACATTTCCAACCCAGGGCTGTATTATGCTCTGAAAGGATCTGGCTATATCCTGAGGAGCCTTAGGTTGCACAATTCCATTGAAGAAATGGTATCCTCTTATTTTCCTTAGAAAAATCCTGCCTGTGAATCATTTGTAGTCTGACTGGCCATATCCCAAACCACCCAGTTTTGTTAGTACATTCAGTAATTGTTCCTTTTTACACAGCAGATGCATCATGCTATAATCCTTCCCTTCTGGCTACGTTGGCCATGTTGTCTTACATTCCTGCACATAGCTGGAGTCAACATGACTCTCCCAATGATCCGTGACAATATCTTCAGAGCTTGTTAAGGAGGAAGGAAAAACTAGGGGGTTTTTAAAAAAAAAAAAAAAAAAAAAAAGCGGCTAAAAAACAAATCTTGTTTTTACAGGCAAGATTTGACTTTTTAATACAATCAAAGAAATACAAACCCCAAAAAATACAGCATCAGAAAAATTCTTGTTTCCAGTCCCTGTTGCTTAGCAACCCAAGGCTTTCGCATCTAAGGTATGGGAGGAGATGGTGTGATAATTTTACCTAATGCACTGGAGGGTTGTGAGCATTCATGTGTGCATATTATTACAGTCTGTAAGGTTGGTTTGATCACAGCTTCAAGACTGAACCATCTGAATTTTTTAAAAGCTATAAAGTATATTGTCTTGCATCCTTTTAGGATGCAATTCTAGGTGAAGTGTCCAATGCATTCCCTTTCATTTAATTTTAGAGTTACCGGAAGCTGTTCACCAGAGTGCCACAAGCAACACAGCTGGTCTCTGTGTTCAGCCACAAATAAAGCAACAGCTAAAGAATGAAGATTGTTACCATGGCAAATTAAACAGGAAAGCAGCAGAGAGCCTCTTAGTCAACGATGGGGACTTTCTGGTGCGAGAGAGCACGACGTCACCTGGTCAGTATGTCCTCAGTGGACTTCAGGGAGGGCAAGCAAAGCATCTGCTCTTGGTGGATCCTGAGGGCAAGGTATGAGTGCTTCACATACTGAAATTTTAGGACTGCTCATATATTTCAGGCAAAATGTATGGGTGGATTCCAGGAAGTGGAACTGATCTGATTCCATCCAGTTTAATTTAAATTTAGTCGGTGACTTCAGTAGGTTTGAAAGTTCAATTCAAGAACTTAGAAGCACCGAAGTACTGTGGAAATAAAAGTGAGGTACTTAAATATTGTTGTTAGTCCAGGTGCTGATAATCAGCCCTTAATATATCTTTTGAGTCATTATTATATTGCTAGAAAAACACTCTAACATTAAATAATGAATTTGATTAGTAACACACTTCTGGATACAGAGAAGATAGAGCTGGTTTGTTGTCACGTCAATTCTACTTGCTTCTGCTCAGGGCTAGAAAAGCTCTCTCGAGTGACATCTCTCAGAGGAGAGAGTAAATCAGGAAAGTAATCCTCAGTGGGATTTAGGGAAAAATATATCTCTCCTGTGGAGAAAAAAAAAATACGGTTATTTCATTCCCCTTAGCAGAATTAGCCAGTTCTACATATAGTCTCTTTAACTCGGTCCTCTGCTTTTCATGTCAGCAAATGGTAGGTCAAAAGGATAGGTCTGGATTGCTGTCTACAGCCTAATGATCCTGCTCCAGGGAGTTCAGTGGCTTAAATATCTTTTGACTTTAATGTGCTAGGCTTGTGTCCGTCCATTTATAAGCACAATCTAACCATAAATATATTCTTTTGCTTCTTTCATTAGGTGAGAACCAAAGACCATATATTCGATAGTGTGGGTCATCTCATTCAGTACCACATGGAAAATAATTTGCCAATCATCTCTTCTGGAAGTGAAGTGAGCTTGAAGCAGCCTGTAAGGAAAGAGAGTAACGTGGGACACATGCAATATCACAAATAATCCATTGGATCTCACAAATCCCAAGACAATTCATGTAAAACTGTACAGAGAACTTTCTATTATGAAGACAATTCAAAAAAGTATAGACTGCACTTTCTGCTGCTGTTCCAGAAGATGCCCTTTTGTGTGTGTATGTACGAATATATGTATATGTGTATATCTATGTAGATCTATAGAGATCAATAAGCATAGTTATATAGATATATATAATCTTAATCTTAATGAAATTACACCTTCAGAGTGAGAGATTCATTTGTGAGAAGGTATTTTAGACATGCACAAATGTCACTTTCCAGGTCATACTGAATCAGTAACTATTTAAAAGCACAATTAAACCTCTACATGCAAAAGCTCACTTGAACGAACTGCTGGAACATTAGTATGTGCCTTTTAGCATAGAATTATTGGAAACCGGTATTATTTATACTGAGTCAGTTTTGGGTGATTAAACAAACATGTCTAAGCTTTTAACTATTTGCCAAAACAAATACAATTTGAATATTACTAAAATGTCATCTGTTTTCGATAGACACTAACAATTCCATTTTGCTTGTAACAGCACTTTACTAGCAAGTAACGTTTGAAAGGAATAGCATTCACAATACAGAAAGGTCGTCCGGTTTCTTAATCCTTTTTTATCACTGTCTGACTACTCAAAGATTTGAGATTATGCAACATTTACAAAGTTGAAATTAATATATGTAATATAATTTTGGAATAGAACTTGTTAAAGGACAAGCATGCTAGATCCTAATATTTTTGTCTTGCATATGATTTTACTATTACTACCAATTAATACTGGAGACATCTCTTTTTAAAGGTAGGCTAAATATATTTTCATTGATTACATAGTTGTTTACAAACTAGAGAAGCTGAACAAAACTAATGATACATTTTGAGAGAAAACTATTTAAAGACTCTTTGAACTTTGCATGTGCCCTTATTCAGTGTTCTTTCCAAAACAAGATAAGGTTTTCCCTTTCCTCACGCAGAGTCCATTTGTTCCTAAACATGGAAAAAAGTCTTTTAAAGGAAACCTATGAATTGTTTTGCCACAATAAATACTCTAAATATGAACAATCCTATATTGAGAGTGAACAGTGATTTCTTGGGCTTCCTGTTGAAGAAACAGGGATTTAGCAAGTGAAAGGCAGGGGGGATTTGGGGAATGAATGGGTAGTCCAGGTGATGGCCTGAGAAAGTTGTCGCTTTAAGATAAGCAAGGTCTTCTGGCATGAGCAGGGACCTTCCCTCCGTCTCCCAGCCCACCAGCTCAGTTCCAGAAGGCAGACGATTGTTGTGGGGTTCAGCAATTGCTGGAAGACTTGACTATAAAAAAATACATTCTGTTCTTTTGCCTGTGTTCATGTTAAGTAGGACACTATAGCTCTTTTCTCTAGGAAACAAGAGGGGTCATATACACATAAATTATCAAAGCCATAAGCTTTCTTGGAGGGGAGAGTATGATGTAGAGAGACACACTTAGAGCTGACTAAAACCGGTCTTTGTTCTTATCCTCAGCTAACAGGCATAAAGTATATTTCATTCCTTGGTAATAACCTGATTTAAATACTCAATTACATATACCGAAGCAGTGAGAAGCTTTAAAACCTGGGTCGTTGATTTCCTTGCTAATAGTCTGGCATTTTTGATACCTCAAGCCTTCAGATGAGACACTCAGGCTTAGGCCCGTTCTATCCTATGCAAGGTTTTCACCTGTGAAGAAGGCCTCCAGCAAGCGTTCATGCTCAGGCTTTGTGCTGCTGCAAGGACAGTTGGGCAAGAAACTCTAACTGGAGTATTAAATCCCTGCACAGTATCCTTTCTAGTCTGATGTCTTATCAAACTTCCTAAGTGTCCATGATGTGATTTTATTGAGCAAACAACAAAACAAAAAATAGCTACTTCTGTGGCATGCTGGGGGTAGAGAAAGACCTGCATAGGGTGGTTTTGATTTTTGCGACAAACTGAGATTTATGACATGTCACAGAAGGCAAATGTGCAGAATGCTATCTCTATTTTTAGTACAAATCAAAGTTACTCAGGACTAGAATAAAACTGTTTGGAGTTGTGATAGTATGAGATCAAAGCTGTATGACTTTTTGCCAGCCATGATACTGATTTGGGGGCTTTTTCACTTCACCAATTTTTACTTTACCAATGCATAAAACCACCCAGAGTCAGTGTGTGATGTTTGGATCACAGTATAATGCAGGCTAAGTCTCCCTCTCTCAACATCACTAACTTAAACAGAAGACCAGAATCTTTCTTTGCTTTGTTGCTCCTGCATCTTTTGCACTGTCTGAAGCAAAACTGAAGGGAAAAGGGAGATAATTGGGTGCTAGTGCAATAAACAAGTATCTCAAAATCTCTTGATGTGAGAGAAAGCAAAGAATCCAACTAATTACAGATACAATTCAGACACAAGACATCCATGCATTGTGGATAATAGACATTTTCCTGCCATAAATTACATCCATTCTTCTGGAGCTGGAACTAGGAACTCAAGTTTTTTGTTTCTAACGTTTGTGTGCCTTCATGTAGTTATTAATGCTGCTTTTAGCCTCTGTGGCCCAGCCATCTCCCGTAAGGCACACTGTCACCTCCTGCGTGGAACTCTTAGAAGTAACTATGCTAAAAAAAAGAAAAGTTATCTGAATTTTGTAAAGGTTTCCAAAATACTGTTCATGAGAAAGTTATTATGAATTGTCAGGCACGTTTAGGCTTCTTTTAAAAAAAAAGTCATTTCCTGTCTGTGAAAATGCTGAGAATTGGTTAATCTGTGTTCTAGCGGTTACTAGAACCCCCTGGAAAAATAGTGAATTTTGCCCACAATGTCATATTTACAAGGCATAGCATGTTCGTTCTTTTTTTCAAAGCTCCCATAAATTTCACTGAAACACATTAACACACAGATCTGTTGGCTTGCATCAATACAAAATGTTAACAAATGGCCCGAACGCCTCCCGCCTCGCCACAGCTTCCATTTTCCGCTGCTAGGGCAGGCAGGCAGCGTTCTGAGGGCCAAGTGTCACCAGGTGGAGCTATTACGTATCTTGCGCCTCTCTGAACAAACGCATTGTTCGAAAAACCTGATTTTTTTTTTTTTTTTTTTTTTTTTTTTTTTTTTTTTTTTTCCACCGGGATTTTTGGTGGAAGATTT